TGACCTCAACTTTTTATTACAAAAAAAATATCTTAAAACGTCCACAAGCCACTGAAATTTTTTGAACATGTTCATATATCAACAAAATAGATAACTCATATGAAATTTGAAAGTAAATGCATGGTTGATGCTAATTTCCTGCTATTTTTAACTAACAAAGGAGGGTCGACTTTATTTTCTTTCGGGGTATAAAATGCTGTGATTTGGATACCTACGCAGGACCGTTATAGAAGTACACGCTTCCATTTCCATAAGTAAATTTTATAATTGTTTCGTAAAGGCTTTGTTAAGGTGGGTCGAATTTAAAATACATGCATGAAGATAGTTAAGGTATTGCACAAAAACTTTTATTTAGTGCCGGAGTTATATCTCCAACAAGAATTATTACATGTATATACATATACATGATGGCACTTTAATCGCGCACAAGATACCTTGAGCAAACACTTCACTCTCAAATTTTGAATACACTTCACCCCTCAAAACACTTCACCCCTCAAAATCAATATATATAAGACAGTTTATCCCTCAACTCTTATTACTTCAAGAGTAAATATTTCAATAACAATTACACCTTTTATTTTTTTATAAATCCTTTAGGACAGACTACAATATTAATTTTCCCATAGACTTATATATTATAAGAAATGACCACTAAACCAACCTTAATATTGAGTATCCCTGATAAAGATGTGATTTTTTTAGAAGAATGACATGCCTGACACATTAAAATGATCTTGTTATAATTATAGGGTTGACCGACCAAATAATTCGCAAATTGTACCCAAGATGATAATCCTCCTTTTCAATGAAATTTTCTGCTGATCACAGGGCTGACATATACTTTTTTAAAATATCCAAATGAGAATTTATCATATACACTCATGAGACATTTCATTTTCTTAAAATAAATCCACTGTTAGTTTTTTTAAATATTTTTTATACTTGAAAACATTACATTTTCATCCAATCACCTGATGTCAGCAAATCGCTGGCCATTTTACAATAGAGTAATCTGACCTGTAATCCTTTATTCACACTTTCGTGGTTATATTCATAAGTTCACAAATATGTGTTGAAAGTCACACATACATGTATATATCATATTAGCACATATTTTAATTGATTATTGTGGCTTTTTGCCGAAATGAGAACTGTTTCCCTGGGGACAAAAAGTACTTTTTTGTACTGTATTTAAGTACTGTATTTTTTGTCCCACGTTTTATATATATAAACATCTGCAGATTTCTAATATTTTGCACAAAAATTTTGTGTGTGACTAACATATGTCACATTTGAATAATTTTGACCAAAAAAAAAAACAACATTTGAATATCCCGGAACAACCAATATTCAATCCGTTAAGCTGTTTTTAGCCAATAATAAATGGAAGAGGAAATTATATATATGCTTTAAATTTATTTGAGCAATAAATTAATGCATCTTTCAACATTTATTCATTCTAGGATTGGTATATTTTCAACAAGTCAAGATAAGTCAGAGCTACTAAAAATTATAAAAAATATCACAATGTTCAGTCTATTCAACTGTTTTTAACAGTTTTTATTTAAGATTTTAAAAGATTTAAAAACTAAATATTATAACATATGTACAGTACAATGCATTGGTATGGCTACTGTTAATGTGTACAAAAAGGGCAGATGAAGGTGTCACTTCAGTTTCTACGCTAATTGGGGTGCAAAATGATAAATACATCCAATCATTACAGCCCTTTTACCTTCCCCACTTTGTAACATTAGTAAATATTGAAACTTGTCTAGATCTGCCAGCTGGTATCACTTACAAATGATCTATTCTACAATTATCATTTGAAAAAAAAATGATAACAAATTATAAGATCTTATTAATAAGGACCCCTATATGTTCTGTCTGACGAATATTAAGTGTTACACCATATTAATAGTTGCTTTAAAATCACACAAGACTGAATTAAATGGTAAAACTCTGTAGCCAATACCTGCTTGGAAAATTTTTTATCACTATTTTAAACTAGTGACTATTTTGTCATAGTTAAAGTCGGACAATTTCGTTACACGGTTTCATTTAAAACAAACAATTTCATATTGTTTTCTGATAACATCTGACAATTAATCAAGTATGGCATTTCTGCATGAGTTGAAGTTAACACAACATGTGTTTTTATGCAATTTAGTCTGACTGCAGAATTAAGAATGTGTTTGAATTTAGGTTGTGATTGAACATTGGTTGTTTCGGGATAAACAAAAAAACAAACTAAAAAAAAACAACAAAAAAAACAAAACAAAAAAAACAAACAAACAACAGGGAAATGTGCCATTATAATGAAATGAGTGATGACGCGAAATTAGTGATCTACATATGAAACGTCGAAGACCATGAAGTATAGCTAATGTCTCTTTTTCTATTTGAGCATAACCTCTCTCTGTAGGGGTCAATGTCTTTGATGCAAATGCAATGGGCTTGCCGTCCTGTAAGCACGTGCAACCTAAACCACGTGCACTCGAGTCGACTTGCAATGTGACAGGCTTTTTCGGGCATAGTATGCCAAGACTGGTGCCTTAGTCATTGCGACTTTAACCTTTTCAAAGGCGTCAATTTGCGCACTGTCCCATATAAACTCAATGTCTTTTTTCAACAAGTCACGCATAGGGCTTACCATTTCTGCCAATTTTGAATCAAATTTTGACAGATACGTGATCATGCCAAGAATAGTTTCCAACTCTGACTTATTTTCTGGGGCTTTCATTTCTACAATTGCCCTGATTTTTTCGGGATCGGGCTTAAGACCGTCAGCTGTCAGTACGTGACCAAAGTATTTAACTTCCTGAGAGCCGATAACACATTTGTCTGGGTTAAACCTAATACCCTTTTCACGTGCTCGGTCCAAAACACGTGTCAGGTTTGCATCGTGCTCTTCGATAGTCCGTCCGTACACAAGAAGATCGTCTACTATTGACGTCACGCCCGTCACGTCCTCGAAGAATTCGTCGATTTTTTGACAAAATATGTCTTGGGAACTTTTGATACCCATAGGAAGCCGCAAATATCGGTATCTACCGAAGGGACTATTAAATGTCGTCAAATATGAGGATTCGTCCGTCAATTTTATCGACCAATAACCTTTCGTTGCGTCTAATACACTGAAGTACTTAGCACCTGTCAATTGGTTTGTCACGTCTTCTATAGTCCTCATAGGGTAGTGCGGTCTCATGATATTGTCATTTAGTGCTTTAGGGTCTAAGCACACCCTCAGCTTTCCAGTGCTGGGTTTTTCCACACAGACTAATGAATTGACCCAGTCAGTCGGTCTAGTAACCTTTTGGATAATTCCTTTATCCTCCATAGACTTCAACTCATTTTTTAAACGGTCCTGTAAAGCTACAGGTACACGCCTGGGTGGACATATTACAGGTATAGCTTTTGGTTTTAAATGTAAACTGCATGTACCTGGGAATAAACCAATGCCTTTAAATACGTCATTGTAATCAGTCAAGATTTTTTGTTTATCTAACGTGACTGGTTGTTTTTCTATAGCATAGGTCAGTTTTATCAATCTCAGATCTATTGAAGTCTGTAAGCTTAATAATGCCGGAGATTTACTGCCTACTACGTGAAAACATGCAACGATTTCCTTATCCTTGAACTTACAGGGTAAGTTGACCTTTCCATAAACTGGGATAGGGTCTTTTGTGTAGGAAGATAACCTATCATCAGAGGGTAGCAAGGGGCCTTTGAAATCTAGTTTCTTGAGCATTTCCTGAGGTATCAAGTTACATTGAGAACCTGTATCTATTTTGAAATTTACAGGGGCGGACTTTCGGCCAATTTGGAGTTTAACCATTGCGCAATCAGGTCGAGAAGTAATGAAATCATTTACCGTGCATACATAAAAATCCTGATCGTCACTCGATAAGTCCGACTCACAATTTATATTGTTCACAGTATTACGTGATTTACACATTTTCTGGAAATGATTCAGTTTGCCACATTTTCTGCACGTTTTCCCCTTCGCTGGACACGTTTTGCCCTCTTGATGTGTTGTCCCGCATCTAGAACAGGTCATTTTCTCGTCCCTGTCTTGTGGCTTTTCCCGCCTTCGGATTAAACGTTTTCTAGGTCTCGCCACGTGGTGAACGTCCTTGTCAGCCGCAGATGCCATTGAACTCAATTGCTGTTTGGAATATTCCATATTTTGAGCGATTTGTACAGCTTTATCTAGAGTCAATTCTGCACCTTCGTTGATTAGCTTTTCTCGAACCTTAGAAGAATTTGTGCCAAATACAATACGGTCCCGTATCATTTCGTCTGTGTTTGCAAAACTGCAGTCTCGTGCACAGATTTGTAATTTTGTCAAGAACGAATCGATGGTTTCTTCTCCCTGTGTTTGGTTGTAGAATTTATACCTAGCAAATATTGGATTGAGCTTAGGTTGCACATAAGTTCTGAATTTTCTGTAGAACGTGTCGATCTTTTTGGCATCGTCTTCAGAAATATCTTTCCACGTGCAGTGGATATCTCGCCCTTTATCACCAATCCATAATAGAAAGTAAGAAACTTGTTCTTCTTCAGACTTTTTCTTCAAAGGTCCTGTAAACATTAGTTTTGCGTGACGTTCGAATTTATTATAAGCTTCAGGTAAATTCGAAGATTCCCAGTCCATTTGTGGCACTGACAATCCAGATAATTCCATTTTGTTTTCAAATATTAATTTAATTGAATAAGTTTATATCTTGTGCTGAACACTCGTCGTGTTTTACTTTACTTCATTGTATCAACGCACTTGGTTTAATTTCTATTAATTATTGTTCATAATAAACGAACATTACAACATGGTGTCAGAAGTGGGATATTCCATATTTTGAGCGATTTGTACAGCTTTATCTAGAGTCAATTCTGCACCTTCGGAGTGCGGACTTATAACTGCGGACGTCTACAGTAATTACTTTGAAGTCGATGCATTGCCAGAAACAAAAAGTAAAACTGTTATTAGAAAATTAACAATGCATATGGCTCGCTATGGTCAAGTAGAATCATTGAAAAGCGATAACGGGCCACAGTTTAGCTCAGAAGAATTTCAAAAATTTGCTTCTGACTGGAATTTTAAACATGTAACATCTTCACCTGGATATAGCCAATCCAATGGTTTCATAGAAAAAATGGTCTCAATAGCAAAAAAATCAATGAAAAAATGCCACGAGACCAAAACAGACCCATATTTAGCATTTCTGGAATATCGTAACACGCCTTTAAACTGCGGATATTCTCCCGCACAACTGTTAATGGGCAGACGGTTAAAATCCATTTTGCCTACAACTAATGAGCAATTGAAACCATCTTTCATTAACCACAAATCTGTAAGAAAATCTCTGCAAGAAAACAAGGTTACGCAAAAGAACTATTATGATAAAAGTTCGAGGTCACTTCCCCCGCTAAACAAAGATGACTCTTGCAGGGTGCAATTTGGGAAAACTTGGAAACCAGCCATAGTTCTAAAAAAAGAAGGGGAGAGATCATACAAAGTGCAAACTGAAGATGGCGCTATTTACCGCCGTAATCGCCGCTTCATAAACAAAACGCGGGAAAAGTTCCCTATCAATACAGAGTCCTTCCCTAATATCCTCCACCAAGGTCAAGACCCTCATGATATAATCTCAAACACAGCACCTTTAAATGATACAGGTATTTCCCAGAATATTCAAAATCCTATTAGCCATGAAACAAGGTCAGGCACAGGTTATCAGACGCGCAGTGGTCGAGTAGTAAAACCTAATAAACGTTATAATACCGATGAATGGAGCACTGTTAATTACTCATCCGGAATTGATTGACATTATGATCTAAAGAAAAAGAGAGAGAGAGAGAACAGAAATAAAATAATAGTAAAAAAAAAAAAAAAAAATTGTGACTTTATAAGACTATTTAAATTGTTCTCTTCAGTATGTATATGCATTTTTAATCATCATTATTGTTTATTATCATATACAATTTTATTAACATGCGTTGCTTATTTTTTCTTTTAATAACAGGGAGATGTAGTATCATCGTACATGATGAACTTGAGCTGACCTATGTATACAGTAATGCTTGTTTGCGCATGCTCCGTACTTCTAGTAAATCTAAGATCACATGTTAAGGGTTAAAGAATAAGTTTATATCTTGTGCTGAACACTCGTCGTGTTTTACTTTACTTCATTGTATCAACGCACTTGGTTTAATTTCTATTAATTATTGTTCATAATAAACGAACATTACAACATACATGATAGTGGTCACATTTGTGGTACGACTTGTCTTTGGTCCGGATCGACTAAACACTGTAGTTCTATGTTTACTTCCGGTAGTGCAAGTGTACAATTTTTAAAGATAATTTACTAAATTGAGTTCTTGTTTGCATACGTTACAAGTCAAGGTAAGTTATTTTCAAATAAGCTATAAGACAGCAATTTTGATTGGAAACATTGACCTCTATTCTTAACATTATTGGTCAGGAATTTCAAAAGATTTATTGGTAACCAGCAAGCAAACGTCGTTAGAATTTCACATTTTTTCCACAATTTATTTTATGTTACTTATAAATCTGCCGAGTTGAATTTACATTTTTTTTGAATTTCGGCTCTCATCTTGTATGAACTATTTTCAAAACATGCAAGAAAATCATTATTGCCTAATAAGGCACACCTTTGTGAATAACATTTTGTTTTATTTATCAAAATATTCACATATTCAAAAGCATACTGAAACACTGTTTACCGGTACTTTCTGCACATTCCGTTTTCAGGTACTTTCTGTACATTCCAGACATTAGCACAGAGGAATTTACTGATGAACCACATACCCTTGTTGCACCATCTCTAAGTCTAGTCTACTGGTCAGGGACCATCAACCGGACACTTTTTGAACATTTTTCCGTACAGATTTTATAATTTTTAACATAGAGACCTAAAAATTTAACACAGTTCAGCTAGGTTCTTCTCCTAACTAACAAACTAGTTTGTTTATTTCTGATTGCATTGACACTTATATCTGAGGCTTACAGGGAGGGTATCAAAATTACCTAAATTGTCTACACTACAGTACCATGTGTCCGGACAGATATGTACATGACATGATTTAATTCAGATAAAAGTTTGGGTGTTTTGATTTGTGATTTTTAACATGATAAACAATATTTCAGCAGCAAATGCTAAAGTTTTGGATATTTTATTGTTTACTCTCAAATGATTATAGCTGGTATATGAGGTCATGCATTGCTTTCTTAACCCCCAAATTTCAACGTCAACATTTTTGAAAAAGACATTGAAATATTACCATTTAAGGAGGTTGAAATAAAATTACAGTGCACTCCGGATACAACAAGAGCGTCGGGACTTCGGATGATTCCTCGTTATAACCGGGTCTCGTTATAACCGGGACAGAACAAATTGAGAAATCCGACACCGTCGAGCATCATTTATTTTTACTTTCGCGTGCATCCTTTTTGAAGAGTAATAAGAATAATGGGAGGTAACTCTTTGCAATCAGGAGTTTTTGTTTTATTTAAATATACATGTAAATAAATATATCTAGCTATCATAGAATTTAAACAAAACATGAAAACACAACCTACGTCTAACCGCGTGTGTTTTTTCATTAATATGTACATTTTAAAATTCTTTTTCAAAAGTCACGCAGTGCATTTCTCACGAACACCAATTAACACTGCAAGAAATTAGCCGCTTCCTTTGTGCTAATCACTCAATGAAATTGTTTTGTTATGACATTTCGTCACCTTAAGGACAATTTAGCCCGTAGCGCTGACAAAACAAGGCTGACACATTTGATCGCTAATTGATCGACCCATTATCTCGTCCCGCGTCAATAATTTCTTCCTTAATTGACCTTTCTTATTGGTCATTTTTTTTTTTCAAGTTGACAAACTGATGCAGACGAAGTGAAATGAAGTGACCTCGTTAAAATTCTGAAAAATACGCATGGGACGGCGAAATTATGTACGTTGTAACCGATATCTCGCTAAAACCGATCTCGTTATAAACGATAAAAAATGGAAGGAAAAAGGCCGGGACACATTAGAATGTACGTTGTAAGCGGTACCTCGTTAAAACCGATCTCGTTATAAGTGGAGTAGACTGTATTTACTTAATTATAGAAGAAACATGCATTTATTGTTGATAAAAAAGTGACTGACAACCACTTTACAAAAAAAATACTAAATTAAGCATTTTATAGGCCGTCTGGGTTTGGTGGTTGTCCGGTTTTGGTGGTCCCCAACCAGTAGTGAACAACAATTTCAATAAATTGTTATTTGTTTTATGTTGATAAATTTCTTTACACAAAGTCAAATTCTCAGCTATAGAGGCATGTATTGTGTGTGTATTGACCAACTTAAAATTTGTTGATGTGACCTTTGTAAATGGCTGTTGTGAACTCACTGGGGTGCTTGATTAGTAAACAAGAAAAATATTACAATACATACATTCGTATGTAATATAGGATTGCATAATAACTCTGGTGAAGACTTTTTATGCTTGCTATATAAAATGAACAAACATGTCATCAGATATTTTATATTTTTAAACGTTTTCATGGAATGTAATAAATATATCATAATATTAAAGTTTCATGCCTTCTGATGAGGAAAGTGATTCAAGAAAAGAACAATGACCAATTAACTGCTTTAAAACATTAACACAAAATTACACATCTTCCACTGAACAGGCCATATGAAAATCTTGCAAACCTACAGAAATAGAAATATAAACAATAAAAACCCGTTTTTCCCGCGTATTTCTTTGTTTCTTGAACTCGTAAATCTGGTCACCAGTTTATTAAAAACCATTCAAATATATTAAAGGTATAGAATTTCATTGAAAATCATAGTCTGTCACAGATTTGAGAAATTATTATTTATTAACAAAAAAAACCATCATTATTTATTATCGATTGATTCAATTTAACCCAAAAGATATGGTTTGTAAATATTTATCACAAATAAATATAAAAAGGTATTTCCTATCCTATGTCCAGGTTAGCTTAGGCTATATTCATAATTCCTGCGATAAGTCGCGATGGTGCTTGGGATAATCACGTGATACTGTAACACAGCCATCTTGCGATACGAAAATGCCTGGCCCTCCTCGCACAGTTTCTTCTGCTGAAAATATAATATGAAATTAATACTTGCAATTCAAAGTTTTTTTGCTATATAAAGATTATTATTTACTAATTGCAAACTTTTTCTCTGCCTGTCTATGTTGATGTTTTGTCATTGGCTGAAACCATCACGTGATCAATACACATTAAGTAGTGAACTAATTTAATTTTTTATTAAAATTATGCAAGTTATCGGACATATAACAATTGTATGTGCAAATAAATTTATAAAACAATCTTAGAAGTATTTAAAATAATAAAAATCAATGGAAAATGACAAATTGTAAATTTGCGTATGACAACTCACCCCTAAACAAAACATAATAGACTCAACCAAAACAAGCGTCTGCTTCTCTACCTAATTATGTAGTTATCAGCAAATCAAATTTAAGAGCAAACCTATTGTAAAAAAATTACTATGACCACAGCAGATTTCGTACAGAAAAAATTGACCATTTTAAAATCAGGTCATTTATTGTATATGAATAACATACAGTATTACTGTGAAAAAAAAGAAGATAATTTATATTGAAACTTAGAAGGATTGATGTATAAGTTTTGTTCTGTTACATAAAACAAAGGAAACAAAGTATTCATTTTCATGCTGTGTCATTATTTGCTAAGACATCAAGTTTTTCCATGTTTAATGATAAAACTATAATAGAAAAAATTGAAATACCACATAGTTATGATAGTAACCCGGTGTACAGCATTAGGTGTAATTTCCCAGAGCTAAATCCTGAACATACTGGTAAACGTGTAATTTCCCAGAGCTAAATCCTGAACATACTGGTAAACAGTGTTTAGCTAGTTTTTCAAAAAGCTGATAAACAAAGTTTTTGATCTGTGATGCAGTTTTCTCAGCTGACATATTTAAAAAGTTTTATTTTTAATATCAGTCTTTCAAATTTCACTTGAGAAACACTAAAATTTAGAAGTGCAGGCCTTTTCAAAATATATCCATTACATTGCATCTTTACTTATGAAGCAACCTTTTATATGTTGTTGTAGAAATACATTTCTGCTGATGCATGAACTCTATTACAGATGCTTTAAACTTGAGTCTTATGAAAATGAAATGCAGCAATTTGTGAGTGTAAGATTACTAAAGAGTACTAAAACTTGACTGTTTGCATCAAATGTTGGGTATTAACAAATCATATTTTTGATGATTTTTATAAATGAATCTTATCTAAAGGAAGTTAACATTTTGACAATATTTGAATGAAAGACTTGTTTTCATTAATTCATAATAATGTAGTCAATATACAGGTGTATTGTTGCTAGGATATTTTTCTTAGACTTCATGTTGCAAATAAGGAACATGCTCTTTTAAAATAGACTTGTGTTGTAGAAAGGAGACATACAATATAATTGTGTCAGACAAGGGTATAAAGAGTAATTGAATTACATGTATATCTGTCATATCAGAAATAATATTATTAACAATACATTTGTATATTGTAATATTTTTTGCTAATGTTTGCTTTCAGTGTGCAACAATTACTAGAACTATGTATGAAGTTAGGTAGTATTCGACATACAATCCTACCTTATATACATGTGAGCAGCCAGTCAAGTTCAAGTGAAATAGTAAAATTGGTTGTTTTTAGTAAGGTGACCACATGAATAAGGATATTTGCTTGCTTATTTTGTAGGCGTATGGCCACCTTATGAACTAAATGATAAAATTATACTAACAAGATGACCATCAAGGTCAAATTATTGAATTTAGCCTAAATTGTCATAACTTGGTTTTTAATTATTATTGATTATAATGGTCCTTAATGGACATAAATTTGATTCATAATGTCATACTCAGACAAAAAAAAACATTAATGATAACAGGGACATGTGGAATAATATAATAACTTAATTTTGATGTAAGTAAAAAAAAAACGTCTTTGACTGTCAAGGTCAAATATGAAATTTTAATTAAACATTTGTATTTTGTTCAAGAAAATGATGTTTTCTTGGAGCAATCTTCACTAAAATATTCTTTTTCTGATGTGTTTGACTTCAGAAATAAGAAAAAGTCAAGCAAAAGTCAAGTTTGGCAGTGGCTCTTTGTAATAGTTGAAAATAACATAATTATAATGGTTGAAAATAACATAATCATATTTTAACTATGTTTCCATCTGGTTACAGGCTTACAGCCATATTCCTTCAAGCTATATATAGATTTAAATTTTTTATAAATCATACAATAGATTTATTTATGTTAATTGTTATTACAATCAGTATGATCATTCATTTAGA